CAAGGCGGCTGAGAGTAATACTGACCACACTATCCTCTTGAAATAAATGGCCACGAAATGTATCCAGAAACCAAAACTATCAGATGTACTAATTTCACGTATTACGCTTTAAAATCAATAATCGGTAAAGATGTCCTCGCATACACTCCATGAATTGCTCAATGCAAACTCACACACACTAAAAACTAATAGAAATGACATTTAAACAAAATTCTAAATGCGTTTCGTGGGTATACTATTAACCCTTCAAATATGTGAATTTAGGATTCGTTATACTATCAACTAAAAGTGGTTTGAATTGTATTAGATTCGAATTGATCATCCCTCTCCAGCCCCCCTCCCCTAATCCTAACAGCAGACCGCAACGTAGTTACAAAAGTGGCTAGGTCAATGTGTATTTTTTAAAATAAAAATAAAGTGGTGGCCCTTCTATGGCGAAGAAATAAGACGGGGTTGAAGTGGGGTGGAGTATTTTTTTTTACGATTCTAGTTCATAATTGATATAAATATGAAATGTAAAACAAAAAATAGTTATATTTTAGGTCATGTCACAATCAGCGCATTGTAAATTTCTTTTACCAAGCAGGTTGCTTTGCTATGAGAATGTACAATCTAAACGAGTTTTTTATTGTTGAAATCATACTGGCTTCAAAGGAAATAATAGGTAACGTTTTCCCTCACATTAACTATATGAAATACCCAACCCCGAATTCCACCCATTCTCACCGCCTTCATACACATTCACACACAGATGATACATTTCAGTCGTTGCTACATTATTTACCAATCCAGTGTGTAGAAATAGATTTCAGGTGGGGGGAGGGGGGCTGCGAAGCATTTTATATATGTTGAAGAATCATCTTACAGCGGTTTTTTATTTTGTTTGATTCCACTGTATCATAACTCCACCCCACCTCACCAAACCGCATTGTTTGTCTAAACGAGTCTTGGTCAATGTGTTGTATTTTAATCAAACTACCTTGGCGGCCCACTTTGGTGTAAAATACACAGTGAACGAAAAAAAGTCACAGGAAAAAAAATACAGAAAAAGTCACAGAATAAAAGTTACAAAAATATTCTAAGAAATATTTTCGTTTAATAGTTAATAATTAATTGTAAAATTTTGGTTTTTTATTAATTTGCTCGGTAATTTTTTCGGTAGTGTATTCGTAAACTTCAAAAGCATTAAGGTTTATAACAATAATAAGTTAAAATACTGTAAGATAATGTATTTTGTTAAATACACGGTGGAAAATTATTATGAAATAAATTTAGGCTCATCATTGTGTTTACATATGATTTTGCCGTAGGCCCTATCTTGGTCGGCTTCTCCTCATTCGGCTTTGTCCGTCCATATTGTGTGCTGATTACGTTTTGCGTCAATCACAGTCTTTCATGATTGAGGTTTAGCGGCAAAAAGTGAGAAACGGGTCTATATTATAGAAGTAGGGTCTATCTATGATCTACAAAAGCGACCAGTGTTTCTTGTAGACTTTTTCCGGACAGGGAGGTGTGTGTGTGTGGGGGGGGGGGGGGTGGAGACTTGAAATTTTTAGGGGTGTGTGTGGACTTAATTTTCTGGGGAGGGGGCGAACACCGATAAAAGTATATTTTCTATATAAATACTATTTCGTTGAATACGCCGGTAGACTTATTTCAGGATGAGGGGTGGGGGAGGGGGGGGGGAGCTTCGCACCCAACTCTCCCCATGTACTGTAAAGGCGCTTGTAAGAAACTCTAAAATGCGACTTTTGTAGTAACTACGTGTAAATCAGGTTAAAATGCCGATTTTTTTATAAAAATCCGTTTTCAATAACATTTTTCGTTTCAGGTTAAATTTTAAGGTAATTTGGTGATTTTGGTTTGGTTTCGGTTTAGAGAAAAAGACAACACTATCAACCTAGCGCCGGTTGTATTTCTCCCTCAACATCCACACCACACTACACTACATCAACAGCACAGAACACGCCACTCATATCAACACCACACAGCACGTCATCAGCATCATATAACACTTCATGCACATCACATCTAAACCACACTGCCCGTTATTAACAGCCACCTGTTACACATGAACCCTTTGCCCCTCAACATTGTCTTTGTCTAAAATATTCTAAAACAATCTGGCGCTCTTTGAAATTTAAAACTGTCACACTGCATTAGTTATTTAACAATTAGCATTACGTAAACCAGTAAACCACTAGCCGTCGGTACCCGTTACACGTGAATTATAGGCCTATATATTTTTGATGTTATACGTATTTGGAAAAAATAATTTATAAAATAGTTATTGGTCAAAACGCAACACTACCCGTTGAGATATTAGTGACAAAGCAAAGAAATAACCTAATAGCTAAAAAATCCGGCACATTTAAAATCAAAGAAATAACTAAAAAGCTAAATACTAGTATATTTAAAATAACAAAGGCTACCAGTAATTATTAGAAAAACTAAATTCTATACATTATTAGTCAACACAGCACCATATTAAATGCAAACACTGATCAAGACACTTAAATTATTCTGTTAAAAACCCGGCTGTTCAATGGTATTTATGTTGTTTTTTAAAGTAGTTTGTATTACTTTTGGTCTAGAAATTGTATACGTTTCATAGCGTACGTCTTGATAAGTAGATCTATAGATCTAAATCAAATTTGAATGAAATAGTTTTCTTCTTCATATTCTAAAATCGGAAGATGACGCCATTAGTTTTGTATACTTTCTGTAGTTAAAACATGTGGCATGTGACGTCATTGTTTATTGCGTTCTTTTCACAACAATAAACGCTTTTCCGGTTGCATAATTAAAATTGTGTTTCTACACTGAAAAATACCTTTATTTTTATTTTCCTTCTTTAAATAAAATTTAGTTTATACATTTAGGACATCATTCATATTATTCTAAACAAAAATCCGTATCTTTAAGTTCTCCATATATCGTTGAACATACTGATCACATCGCCTAAAAAACTTGCAAACAGAGAGAGAGAGAGAGAGAGAGAAAGAGAGAGAAGTGCGCACTTGGGCTTCTATATATTAGGATAGATAAACATATGGTAACCTTACTTTAAACTTAGCTACTGTGGCATCCATCTGATGTAATGAAGCATGATGTAAACCAGTGAACCTGTGAACATCTACATCACACTGCCCTTTATTCACAGCCACCTGTTACATCTTTACCACTCAACACCGTCGTTATCCAAATTATTTTTAAACAATCTACCGCACTTTGACCGTCCTTTGAAATGTACAGGAAGCACACTGATTTAGTTATTAAACCCTTAGCACGCTCTGTAGATAGAGCAGGTAGATAGAGCAGGTAGATAGAGCAGGTAGATAGACCAGGTAGATAGACCAGGTAGAGGAGATAGAGCAGGTAGATAGAGCAGGTAGATAAAGCGGATAGAGCAGGTAGATAGAGCAGGTAGAGCAGGTAGATAGATCAGGTAGATAAAGCAGATAGAGTGTATGTGTGGTGCCATTACGTTTGACGGTGTGATGTCGATGACTTAAAAAATACACAGGTGGTGGTCACTCGCTGTCAGTGTTCCGATCGAGGCTGGGGCGTAAACTCGATGACGACAGTTTTCCAGGTGAAGCTGCATGTTAAGAAAAACTAAGTGACTGCTGGTGTTGAAAAACACAAACATTTTAGTGCAGCATATTCTGTCAAACACATGCGGGTATAGAGATGAACCCCCTCTCTCTTTATCAAACTAACGTTCTTTCAAACAGGCAGATATTTGATACGGATATAGAGAGATACCCCTACCCCCTCCACCGAAATGGAGAAATAGTTTGGAAAAGAGTAAAGCTATCAAAAGTTTAAAAATCCTTTGACAAAATGTAATTTTCATATAGGCCCGATTTTTATTTTTATTTACAAAATGTATTCTTACCAGTTTTATTTAATGCATATTTTTATAGCTAAAACTGGGTGTTGGAAGGGACTTAAATCCTTAGCTCCCCAACATATGTAGGCCTATTTATAAATATTTTGCACTGCCCCGAAAAACCCGTAAGGATAGATCCACTTATGCCTTGAAATTTCAGTGGAGTTATACCTACACACATTTACCTCAACCAACCGTTTTCTTTGAAATAAGCAACAAAACATTCGTCATCTAGAGTAAAGTTTTTTTTTAACAATCAGAAAAAAAAATCCTGGTACTGGGGTATTTAAATAGCACAAAAGGATATCCAAATTGATCTTTTTGATTAATTTTTAAAAATTAATTAGATAATAAAAACAAAGACTAAACTGTATCATTAAAATATGAAATAATAACTTATATTATGTTCATATAATTAACGATCCATTAGATTATAGAGAATAATTTGTTTTAGATATATCGAACACTTACAGTATTATAAAAAATATCTGACATTCAATATATACATTAACATTTGTGTACAAGTAAGTAAATTGATATATGAACACATTATACTATAACATGATTATTAGAAATGAAGGAAACGTTTTTTATGAAAATAAAAAAATGTATTGGTTTACATGATATACGGTAACCTAAAGCAGAGTTTTTCATTGTTTGAAATTTTTTGAAGATTCCATGGTAATAAGTCTTTGAAAAATTATTTTATTTTCCTTGTTTAACATAAAATATATGACATCTGAATAATTACTTTTACCGGCAGATCTTAAATAATAATATAATTTTTACAAATGTAAAAAAGCTTAAGCATTACAATAAATATTATTTGCAAAACACTCAATAAACTGATCATCTACATACAATTTCATAAAAGCTGCCAAAATTTTAAAAATTATTTTGATACAAAAATAAATTATAACATCAAATGAATACTACTTAAAATCAATCTAGGAATTAGAATATTTTTTATAACAGCGAATATGGTTTTCACAAGCAACATTATTAAAGCAGAATACATAATATAATTGTTTTTAATAGTCACTAACATTTCCTCAAGCGTTTTCTACAAACCAAAAAAAAATTATTTTTGGATTTTATACAATGAAGAAAAATTGTGCTTTATTTAGCAGCAATAAAAAAACAACAACAGAAAGGTTACAATATTAATTTTTTTTCTAGTATATTTTATAAAATATTTAAATAAAAAGTGTTAATTTAGAAAAAAACAATAATACTTAAATTTGCAACTTATAAATAAATCAATTGAAAATAAAGCAAAATATAAAGATATATATTCTTGACAGTTTTTATGTCTTGATACAAATGATAATTTAATTCTATTCTGTTATGTGTAATAATTTAATAAAATAAAATACAAAAATAACATAAAAATGTTAGAGGAAAATGATTACAGGATTTCTCAGATCCACAATACCTACTCATTTCTACATGTGAACATGCTGTCTGGATGATTTCAATAGAGCGACTGAAGTTTTACAAACAGAGATGGATGTGGATTGTCTAGTACATTTTGTTATTCTTTATAACTATAGCAAAGTTGAAAAGTATTAGAAAACTAATCTGATGTGAATAGCAGTGCCATCTGTTTTTACAATAGAGTTTTTATTAAAGTTGCCAAAGAACAAATATTGTAAACATTCAGTCTGATTTATGGAAGTTTCATCATCAGAGTTGTAATGAAATTTAAAATTGAGTTAAGACAAAAGTGAAGACTGTTGAGGTTATCGTCACCAGGCTGTGTTATCACTTTTATAACATAACATATCAGGGCTAACAACAGGTTACCATACTGAGCATTTCTTCTGTGGGTTCATGTTGGAACCAAGGGGACAGTTGAATGCTTCAGAAAATTCCTTGGAATTTTGGACACTTCCAATAACTCTGTGAAAGGAAAAGAACCTATTACATTTCAAATCTTTTTGCATTAAATTTTATTTAACATTAAACATAATTTACATAAAGGTTAGTAGACTTTATCTTTAATGAAAATATTATGTAGGATCAAAAGAATTTTTTTTTGCCACTGACCTGAATTCACCTGGACTGTGAACTCCTACTTTAATTCTGCTAAGTGCGTCTTCTTTTGTCATTAAATTGCACCACAACTGAAAAAGTTATCATCTCATAATGTTGATTAAAAAATAATATTGCTAATGCTTAAAATAAACTTTGATAAACAGATTTTAAACTTATGTTAAAATAAAGAAAAGTAATGAGAACTTCAGGTTTTCAAATTGATACATTACTTTTTAAAATGACAAATGCATCTAAAGAGCTTCATCTCTCTCTCCGTATACATACATACATACATACATACATACATACATACATACATACATACATACATACATACATACATACATACATACATACATACATACATACATACATACATACATACATACATACATACATACATACATACATACATACATACATACATACATACATACATACATACATACATACATACATACATACATACATACATACATACATACATACATACATACATACATACATACATACATACATACATACATACATACATACATACATACATACATACATACATACATACATACATACATACATACATACATACATACATACATACATACATACATACATACATACATACATACATACATACATACATACATACATACATACATACATACATACATACATACATACATGTATATATATATATATATAATATATATATATAATATATAATATATAATATAATAATATATAATATATATAATATATATATATAATATATATATATATATATATATATATATATATATATATATATATATATATATATATATATATATATATATATATATATATATATATATGTTGGCTGGTACTCTATTATTAGTTGGTTATTTTATTCGTGTAAATAGGTTGCTTGTTTTTTGTGGTTATATTTTTGTTGTGTTGGGTAGTAGCGGGCTCGGGGTAATGTCCCCCACCCCGGTTCTCACGGCGCGGGGGTCTGTCAGGTGGTCACCAAATAATTTACGAGCGTTCACAGTTGTGGACTGTGGCCGGAGACCGGCGTGGCCGGACCCTAGGTGTGTGCATGCATTGTGTTTCGATTTTATGTCCTGTCTCCTCAATGGTCGTCTCCTTAAATGTACGAGCGTAAGGCCGCGACGGCCAGCAGATGGTTTGAAAGTATGGGAAAATGTTTGGTTGGATGTAGGGTATTTAAGAGGACTGTGTAAAGCTCTCTGTCTCTTACAAACACGCAGCTAGGGCTAGAGGCTACTCGAGGCCTTATGGCAGCTGATGTATGGTTGATATGGCCTGGTGTTTACACCAGCGGCCCAACGTCGTGTTCTTGTAAATATGTACTTCGTTCCTGTGTGATATTATTGTTATTTGGCTGTGGCCTAGATGGATGTGGTACGTGTGGCCAGATATTGTACCAGAGGCCGATGTCTTTTTCTCCAGTGGTTGGAAACAATGTTCCCTCTAAGGACCAAGAGTGTGTGTGCAAAAAATATGTAGTGTGCGCGGTGATAAAAATGACTTGGGCAAAATAATACGTATTTTTAGTCTTGCAATTAAGCATAATAATGAAGGCATGCATTTTGATAAATTAATAGTATAATGCGTGTGACTAATGAAACGTATGCAATTAAAAGAAGACACGAATACCATCAAAATAAAAAAAAACTTATAAAAATTTTCAGAGTTATACTTAGACAACAAGTTATATGGTCGACTTACTATGTTAAAGTAAGACAGTCATATGGTAATAATGCTAATACCATAACGGTAATACAAACACAATAGTTTAACATATGCAACATTTAATAAAGCTGACTTAAAAACAAATATTAGCTAACCTTTCAGAGGCATTTATTGCAATTTCTCGCGTCTAACCTTGCATTGCTTCCACACCTTATATGCTTTGTTTAAATCCACATCCTCTCCAGCATTTAGATATAATTTAATTTGCTTTAGATTCTCCAAATGTGTGGCTTCAAGTATATTTCGTGCTTGCACTTTTATTATGTTAATAAGGCTAAAACCTTGTTCGTAATCAGCACTGCATGCTTGGAAGGTACAATAATGTCACTTAACTTTGCCAGTGAGCTAAATTGTTCTTTGTTTTGACAAAGCTTGCATATTCAGACATATAATTTACAGACACAGATCTGAGTTTTTCACTTTATCGAAATTTGAAGTCATTGTATTGGATGGTAATTAACTGATCATTTGTTGTACGTAACCCATCTTTGTACTTTACGCACAGTTCTTTGATATCTTTGACGCCAAACTCAAATGCACATTTTTTTAAACCTGTAGAATAAAAAAAGATGACCAAAACTGCAGTTCATCTCCTGGAAACCTAACATTTAAATGTTTGCAGACTGATTGTATGTACTGTGTGGTTTGCTTTGTGTCGATTCTTTCGTTTAACTCACACTTTTCTTGGCTTTAATGTTCAGTGTAGTGATGTGTTACGGCTGTCTCCAGAGCTAAGGCATCACTTACAGCAGGCTGAGTTATTCCACTAAAAACGGTTTTGTAGAATACAGAATTGACTGGACGAAATTTAAAATAAAGGATTAGCATTTTATGTACTGTTATGCCATCTACTATAAGCGTGTGGAATGATGCTGCTCGAAGTTCTGTCAGTATGTTCTTTACAACAACATCGTTGATTACTTGAACAAACTCAAAGGCGTACTTCTTACTTCGCCAACTGTCTGGTATAGAAACATACTTCCCCATGTGGTTATGAATCAGTTGTACCGACAGCATCGAGGCGTTCATCCTTATGGTAAGAAGAACATTATCCGTTAGGTTTCGAACTTGATCCTCGTTTGACCGCTTGCGCTCGTTTTGCTCAATTAGTTTTCCTCGCTCAATGTAAGTTTCAACCAGCAGACGTTTAAGACCAGTCCCATTTGAGCGGTTGTACGAAATCGCAACATTTCCTACATGAACACGAGACAATAAATGACGTTTTCAGTAGTCAAGCGCCCATGATTCCCAGAGCTTTCCTGTGACCAATTCGTTGCTCTTGTTGCTTTTGTTACAAGTAGTAGCAGCACAGAACTTACACTTCAGTCCAATCTCATCTGAGTATTCTAAGGTGCTTTCTAATTCTACCGAAACATTCTTTGATCTGGCGTATCGGTTGTTACTTTAACTTTGAGCCATTCCAGTTTAAACGAATCTATCGCTTTTTTGTGTGCCACGTTGTTGTACTGCTTTTTACACACACTTTTTCCTCAACATTTTCAAACAGCACACAGTAGTGGACATTTATTCCTGATTTACCTAAGCAGTGTGTGCATACTAAAACATTTCGATCCACATGCACGTAATAATCCCAAGAATCGGATATATAATATATACATCTTTAAACTAAACACAGCAAAAACATCCACCTTAAGTAACGTAAAACTTGCATGTGACTTGGCTTAATCGTCAAAGTTTCAAGATGAGGTGGAGGGGGAGAGGGGCGGGGTCAAGCGACGATTTAAAAAACTTGCAGGGTCAGCTTCAATTCACAATACAATGCAGGTATTAGATGTCAGCTCCGGTCAGTTTTCGGGTAAACCATTAAATCAAGCAATGGGAGTGTCACACAGCCCCGCTCAGGTGAGAGTTAAGTCATAAACTAGACCTGTGCTATGACAACCGAGGTCACCCCCCCCCCCGTCAGTGATAACCGTAGTTTCTGTTTTTACAAAAGAGGAACTAAAAATGTCGCTTAATTCAAATCACTGGCCACAATTTTCCTTTTGAATTAGGCTCGCCCGACGTTCTGGTAATCTGTGCGCGGGGTCAGAAAATGTCTGCGCGGCACATTTGAAAGTACTGCGCGGCCGCGCAGCCGCGCAGCTTAGAGGGAACACTGGTTGGAAACCCTACCGCCACTTGAGTACGATGTTTTTACCAGATGTGTGAAGTCTAGTTTCCTCGGTTGGAAATATTCCTGTTGTTCTAGTGTCGAACTAGGTTGTTTTGAGGACCGTTGATTACTCATTTTTAGAAGGATTTAAACCAAAAATTAGTGGAATCAGAACTAGGGATATTAGCATTTTCAATTGTGATTCTGGGATTACGTAGCAGTGCAAGAAATAAAATTAGGACTAGTAATAATAACTTTGACAAGTGTGATTCTGAGATTATGTAACAATGCGAGGAATGAAATTAGGATTAGAAGAAGTAACATTTAAGAGTGTAATGCTGAGATTACCTAAGCAGAACAGGCGTGTAGGACTTGAGGAAATGATATTTATCTGTGTGTATTCTAAGTTGTATGTTTTTTTTATGAATTAATGTAAGCAAGGTGAATGATTCTGTTCGGAGATGAAGTTTAAAGATTTGTAGTCATATTTTATTTGTATTAAGGATTCAAGTAATATTCCTTGAATACGAAAGACTGGCCAGGTCTTATGTGTATTATTTGTGTTGTCTTCTGCTTTTACATATATATATTGATAAATAAATGCATATTATGTGTGTTACTATCAGTGGCGGAACTAGAAAAAAAGGGCCACCCCGCAAAATATTTTTGAGGCCCCCCCCCTATATATATATATATATATATATATATATATATATATATATATATATATATATATATATATATATATATATAAACACAAAATACGAACGTAGGATACTCATTTCGGGCCTAATCTAGTATTTAAAAAACACATTGTTTTGAAAAATACATAATACTTCTATTTTCAATTCTAACAAATTACAACATATCATGTGTTTAAGTGCATTAGTCTGTTTTGCAAATCTGTGTGTCACTTTTGATGTGGCTGTATAGCTTCCCATACGCGAGCCGGTCAAAAGTATATGAAACATGAAAGCTTTGTATGTGGAATGGTTTCTCGTGTTATGTTTATTTTTATGTTTTGTTAAATTTATATTATTTTTTTTTAAATTCCTTTTTATACTATGTTATTCTTTAGTATGTATTTTATAAAAAAATAATAATTTAGAGAAGTAATTGCTTTTCAATTTGCGTAGTATAAAACTATTAAAAGGAGTTTATGGGCACTTCTATTTGACTATTTAATAAACCGGGAGTGATCTCCCCTAAACTTTCTCGAATATTCTTATATAAAATAACAGGGGATGGAAACTCGGGCTATAGACATGATTTTTAATCCATTTTAAATACTTAAAGTTTTAAAAATAGAATAAAATCTCGTAGATAAATTAATTGCACACCAAGTGAACGCAAATAAAAAAAGCGCATAATAGTGCGCAATATTATTAGTACTTTTAAAATTTACATTAGGTTTTTGAGAAATCGGAAGTAGCGTAAATTACTACTTCCAGTCAACGGAAATTACTCAAAATTTAACAGAAGGTAGAGAATTAGATCTTTTACTTACATGTGAAATTTCATTTATCTATCTGAAATAGTACTCAAGTTATAGGCTTTTAAAAAATTCAAAGTAGGAAAAGTACCACTTCCGGTTATCGGAAATCGCTCAAAAGTTGATACGGATCTACGATTTTGATAAAATACTTATATATGAAATTTCATCAACCTAGCTGTAACGGTACTCAAGTTATCGTGTTTACACACGGACAGACACACACACAGACACACACACACACAGACATACGGACAAGATTGCAAAATTATGTTTTTCCGTATCAGTGAGGTGCACGATTACAATACTTTCTCTATACTACGTATATACGAGAAAGTAAAAAAGGGAAATAAGTCATGTAAGTGGCTTGAATGTTTGTTTATCTTGCACACTAAAGCTTATGTAGAAATTTTTTTTCTTTTACGCAACAGCGTGTGTTAGCTACTGTAGAACATCACTACAGTAGTAGTTTTTTTTTACAAAACCATTATTAAGGTGCGCGAAAACGTAATTTTGAAATACAAAGTCATTGCTTTTTGGTCGGATTTTGGGCCCCTAAACGGCCTGGGCCCCCCCGCATTGCGGGGTCTGGCGGTATGGTAGTTCCGCCCCTGGTTACTATGTTTCATTTTTAGTGTAATATTAATTATTAATGTTGTATTGTTGTGTTAGGTAAAGTAATTAGTTTGCTCAGGTCTTGTAGACCTTCCTGTCCCAACGGGAATGCCACTGATGAGTGAATAAGATCACCTCTCGGTTTAACCCCCACGTAACACACACACACACACACATATATATATATATATATATATATATATATATATATATATATATATATATATATATATAAAAATATATATATGTATATATATATATATATATATATGTATATATATGTATATATATATATATATATATATATATATATATATATATATATATATATATATATATATATATATATATATATATGTATATATATAAATATATATTTATTTATTTATTTATATTATTTTATTATATTATATTTATTTATTTATATATATATATATATGTGAGAGTATATATATATATATATATATATATATATATATATATATATATATATATATATAATTTATTTTTCATACTAGTAGCAGATTAGGACATATGTAGGCTACTACTTTGAAATTTAAATAAAATCCTTTATCATTACTTTTATTATATTTAAAACCGTACCACTATCACAATCTTTATTATATTTTAAAACTTACTTGAGCAAAATTGATAAAGAACAGCTGATTATGGGTGAAATTCAAACCAGGCAACCTTTGCTCCTCTTTCCCTTGTTTGTCAACCCAGTTTCTGTATGCCTTTATTTAGAAAAGAAACATACTGTTAAAATAGTTACATAGTGAACATTTGAATCACATAAAGATGTTGTGAGTATTTGTTAGAAGAAAGTACGTCTGTTAATATGGACATGTTTGAATATTGTGAGATATATTGAGCTGCCATCTTACCCTAAATGACTGCTTTAAGCCACCATTATCTGCTATGTTTTCTCCTTGTGTATTGATTCCATTTAGCTGTGAAAAGCAACATCATGAGAACATTAGTTCAATAAGTTAAAAAATATTCAAAATGTTTGAGATGTTATGTAAAGGTAGTGGGGGTCTTTTTAAAAATCTTTTATGTCTAAAAGATTTTAATTCATGAACTATTCATGAACTACTCTTTTTTGACAGATCTGCTATTTTATTCTAGCTGAAACACAATGATTACATATGTTAAAGGCAGTTAAATTAAAATATCTTTCAACAAAAATAGAATTAAAATACTTCAATATGGCATATCCTTTTATGGTAGGTTGTAAATTAATATTCAACATAAACTACACATGTGTATATGAATGCAATAATTAGACTTTAGATCAACAGGCATTAAGCTACCAAACTACATTTTTTAAAAACATTTCAAAAGACCAAATACATTTTTAACCAAAAAATATATTTGGTTAAAAATGTAAATGGTTTTTAAAATGTTTTTATAATTAATACATTAAAGCTTATACAAGTAATTATAAAATGTCAACATTCAAGCTAGAGTTTATGAAAGAAAAATATATTTTTGAAACTTACTTTTTCTTTTGTCAGCTGTTCAGTAAAGTTGCCATATTGTTCTATTATGCAGCTAGCTTTGCCCTTGAACTTATCTATAGCAGATGAGGACCACCAGTCTACTAAATTTCCATTTTTATCATATTGCCGTCCTGTAAATAATATAGAAAAAAGAATTAATATTCATTGGTAAATGTAAACTTAATGTTAAAATATTTTTATATAAAAACCTCCATCAATCAGCTTTATGGCTACAGAACAACTTTAACATTATTAATATTAATTAAAATAGAAAAATTAGGTCTATTAATAATACATATTATAAGCAGAATCATTATTTTAATAATAGTAAGTCTAATAATTATATTTATACGTATATCTTAAGAAATTATTTCCTTTAAATTAATACTGTCTCTGAGAGTTTTTAAGCCTATTGTAACTGTTAAAACTGACTGCTCTGATAAAATCTACATTTTAACCAAGTATTAAAAAATGCAGAACAATCTTAATTAAAACAACAACAGAAGTTCTTAGTAGCAGAGTTGGTAGTTGTTGATTGATAGATAATAATTTAGAGGCTGTAGCAAAAAAAGTTAGCATTTTAAAGAAAAGTGGATATTTTAACCCCAGTTTTAAAATTTCTATTAATCAAAATTTTATATATAGATCTAGATATATAATTTCATTATTAAAATAGATTTTAAAATAATCACATTACATTGTTGTTTTTTTTTACAACAATCTTTGTTTACATACAATTATGATGCATAGTCATATTATGGATTTAATATTTGTTAATCTATTTTTTGTTAACTACATAACACAAATAAAGAGATTTAAATTAACAAAAGGTTAGCATATTGAAAAATGTATATAGAGAAATATAAAATAGTTTACAAGCAGAACTATTTATTCTAACTGATGCTAATAGAAATGAAGAGGTTTAGCACAAACATACAAGAAATATAAGTTTGATGTATTATTTAAGAGTGTGGCAAATGTAAGAAGAAAAACAGCAATCAATACAAAGGTAGCCACAGAGTGTGGCAAAAGTAAGAAGAAATCCAGCAATCAATACAAAGGTTACCACATTAAGAGTGTGGCAAAAGTAATAAGAAAATCAGCAATCAATAAAAAGGTTACCACATTGTGGCAAAAGTAAGAAGAAATCCAGCAATCAATACAAAGGTTACCACATTAAAAGTGTGGCAAAAGTAAGAAGAAAACCAGCAATCAATACAAAAGTTACCACTGTCATCATAGGCATGTGAGATTTCATGGCCTATAAAATAGCCAATTCCTCCATAGTTGAGAGACCTAGTTATACGTATTCAAAGAGATGATTTAGTTATAGAAAAAAATTTAAAAAGATTGTCTTCAGATCTGATGATTGCAAAATGAAGATACAGTAGAGTTAATCTGTTTTTGAGATGGTATAATAATTATAACACAACAATGATCAGACAGAGTTAATTTTCTTACTCCTGAATACAACTACCCATCACAACTATAATAGCGCAAAGTTTAACAAAATTTCAAGTAGATTATTAATATTAAACCCATTTTATTTTTAATAAAAGTCAACCTTTTTCTTAGTTATATTCTATTTGAATAAAGGCCAAAAAAATGCAGTGTTTCTATTGTCTGAGAAACATTTTAAAATACAATAAAATGCATAAAAACATTTTGTTATGAATTTATATTGATTTGAACATACGAATAATGGTACAAGATGTATTTTGGCAAATAGTTTAATAGGAGTCAGTTAAAATGTGTTGCTTTTCATTTATCAAGTTTAATACAATTTACTGTTATGCTACTTTAAAAATAAAATAATAAATAACAAACTACAATCACAGACATGTAATTTACTTAGATAAACAAATGTTTGTTAGTAAGTAATGTGTTATCAAACAAGCAGCTCAATCAAAATGAAATCGAAAATGGATTTTAATTGGGGTATTAGCTACACATAGCTCTTTGTTAGTACATTTAAATTGTTATATACAAGAAGATAAGTAAAAGCTAAACTGGCTAAAATGAATAAATAATGATGATATAATTTTATTTTGTTTCACAGAATATCAGGTGCTCACAAAAAACTGTGAAATGAAAAACTATTACCCGTGAAAGAAAATGAAAACCAATGTTATTTTTATTATAGTTGATGAGTACCATGTACCATACTGCTTAGCATGAGAAAGAGAAGGGGCCAAAACAAATAGAAACATGAACCAACAGTATTGATATGGTCTAAAATATAATACCCTAAATCTAAACCCTACCCTAAATCTAAACCCTACCCTAAATCTAAACTCTTCCCTAGATCTTAACCCTACAGTAAATTATAAACCCAATGCTCAGCTAAACCCTAGCTCTGTTTCAAGGCAAGCAGTATAGTACTATGTGATTACATACACTTTACAAATAATATGTGCAAAATGTAAAACATTGAGTGAAAATGAAGCAGGGTATAATGTTGATACATGTTATACACACCAACTCATACATCAGCTAATAATTAGTGCATGCAGCTGGGGATTCCCATTTTATTAAAGGATTTTTTGACCTCTCACCTCTGTCGTCAAAGCCATGAGTTATTTCATGACCAATAACCATCCCTATACCTCCATAGTTCATTGACCTGGAATAGTGGCAAACGGTATAACTATCTCAGCTACCAAACCTTTAAAACTTCCCTGATGAAAGTTACACTACACACCACGATATGTGGAGAAGAAACATTTAACCACCCCCTCCACTGACCTATCATACAGCTAAATGCACTACCCTTGCACCACAGCATACCAACCATGGCAAGATCTTTTTGCCATCAGCATCTTCAAGAACAATCACTCCATCTCTAACTTGTTACATTTTTTTTCAAATGAAACTAACCATTTCTCCTTACCCCTTCTAAATATCTTAAAACAAAAGAATGAAATATTACATCCCTTAAATCCAAATTATTTTGCACAATTACAGAATTGAAAATCATTGATAGCAGTACAGTTTGAATGAACAGCAAATAAAATTTAAAGACATCAGAAGAACAATAAAATATGTTTTTTTATTAACCAATTACATTTTTAGAAACTCAAAGACTATTTTAGCTTCACAGTCAATAACCATATAATGGTAATGAGGTTTTTTTTAACTGTTTATGTTTCTTGCTTAATACTATTTTAAATTGTGCAGCTTATGTCAGTTTCAGAAAGATTATTTATTGAGTTTAAATGTATTTAATCAACTTGAGCGAGGGCTATGTGAATGTTTCAACAGCTCATTAGAGTTGTATCATAAATTAAATCATTGATATCTAAACTATCCTAAACTTAATAAATATTGTTTATCCTTTAAAATGCAAAATCTAAGTTAAGTGGTGTTGTTTGGTTTACTAAAATTAAGTTGACTTGGATGACTAGAATAGAATTAAATTTTGAGACTAGAGGGAAGGTTAACTGTCTTTTACATCCTAATTCTCAAACTTTGTTGATGCAGTTGATTAAAAAAAAATTGTTGTTACAAATACAAACAAGTTGAGTACACGTAGCTTACATTGGAAAATTCTTGCTAAAAAATGGTGGTTGAAGGATGCCTGCAGGAAACACTGCAAGAAGATAAAAGATAAGAATTTAGTGAATTTTTTTCTTATTTACACACACAGGAAATGTTTATTAAAGAAGCTTCTAAATAAAAAGAAATAAAGGGAATACTGCTTGAAAACATAAAAGTTAGCAACTTACTGATCTGGTTTTTTAATGAGCTGTAGTAGGCATTTATCGTTGATGGTGCTATAGCCCATCTGTTTGTTAAAATGTATGGTTTTAGGATTATAAGTAACTAAGAAACATTTCGAAAAGACAAAAATGGCCAGGATTTAAACAGAATTTGACACCAAACAGGCAACACAAAAATTAGACAAGTTAATATTATGTTAGAGTTATCTAAAATGTAGGACATATGTGAGAAAGCATTCTTTATTTTAAAATACAAAATATTTACTTTTCTTTATCAACCTCCTTCCTCAGCTGCCGAAAACTTTCAAAGAAATCTTCTCTTTTGTTAGTCAGGATATTGTTGAAAAAATGTTTAACATCATATGTTAGCTGTGAACAGAGATGTTTGATAATAGAACATAATTATGGATTTTATGAAGACTACACAAAACTAGATTAGAAGAAAATGTAAAATGGCAGGAGTGGATTTAGGGGCCTTAACTGTTAAATTATTTTGTAGCAAAATTGATATGATAATTCATGACAAAGAGATTTCCATGATTATTTAACATAGAAATAAATAAAAGAGAAATAGCCATATAATTAAGAAAACTTTTTCAAAATCAACAAATTTAATTAATTTAATTAACTTAAATGATTACATTTTTATACGCTTCTTCTAGGTAAGTATTATTGAGGACCTCCTTAGGATAACCAATCTTTGGTGATATAAAAGCATTCTAAGAAAAGAAAAAAAAAATTACATTGTTAATCAGATTTTAAGTAGCTTTAAAATTTAAATGTTGAAAAAACCTGTTAATTACACTTAAATAATATGTTTTCATTATTAATTATTTTAATTTAATGGTGTCAAAAACTATTTAAAAGATCAGCCAAAACATGAAACATAACCTCAGAACAAAATTTGAACAGTTACCTTTTCCTTGGCTACCAATTTAGTGTCTTCATCCATCCAGTCCACATAAGCCAGAAGTTCATTAAAGGAAGCTTGGAGTTGTGTTATCATATCAGATGCCTGCACAAGGGGAAGTAATATTTTACAGTCAAACAGTTTACAATATGGTTCAGATTTACATGGCTTATTGAACTATATTTGTACCAAAAGTCCTTCAAAGATCTGTTCCCATACCTACAACTTTACATAGTTCAATACTTATAAGCAGAAGCTAACTTTAAATAAGTTTTTTCAAATTTTTAAAGTCCTTACAATATTCTTTGCTTGAACATCAAAGTTGTCTTTGATAAAAAGTTGTCCAACAGGAAGGGAGAGAACTGAGGTTGTGTAGGAACCACAAATCTTGTACCTTGGTTTTCTAGCAGTGGTGCCATAAACGACCTGTTGTATGTAAAAAAATGTTATAAAAATCATATTGTATGTAATCAAAATAACATTAAGAGGTTTGTGGGCATAAAAATTATTTAAGTCCACTTTTAAATGTGCACTGTAAACCTGCACTGCTGTGAGTTAGAATCTGCTTTTTTTTTAAAAAATCATAGAGGGCATCAGTTGTTTTCTTTTAAAACTAAAATATAATTTAATTCAATTAAAAAATAAAGTAAATTTCAGATCAATTACCTAATAAATGATTAGAGATCTAAAACAAATTAAGAGCAGTTTAATTTACATAATAAACCGGTAGATTAGATTTCAGTGTCAGTCTTTAAGTGTGTTTAATTCTGATTTTATGATTTATATGATGAAACACTTTGGGAATCAGAAAAATAATCCTAGATAAATAAAAGGATTACTATAAAAAGTCCATAATGTGATTTTAAACTCACGTTTTAGGATTTTAAATGAAATATTTAGTTAATTTTTTTGTAAGGATTTTAAAACCTTCCACCACAAATAGGTTCACATATGTTTAAGATAAAGAAATAACTAAAATGCCTAAATGTAGATCCTAAACACTGTCTTCATATTTTGGCTCTATCTCAAAACTAGCCTGATGTCTAGCAACTTATTTTATTGTAGGGTCATAATGTCAGTGTCCTTGCCTTATCATACACAGCCTTTGCAGCCAGATATTTGTCTCCCATAGCTTCAAAGTGTTGCTTGATCAGACGCCACATCAGGAAGTTAGCTATCGTCCTGAAAACGTTGAGTTTTATTGTCGTTAGATTTTGAATGTAGTTATTTTAAATTTCAAACATCTAATACATTATTGTTGTTCTATCTAGAGATGAAGAGTTTGAATATTTTAAATTTCAACCTTTTTGGTGTGGCTTCTAGCACCTTTGATAAACGCTCATAGTACAAGGGAGACAAGTTGATCAAAATTTCATCACCAGTCACATCTGTAAGGCCGATCTCGGGACTTGAGAAGATTTGATTGAAAAAACTTGTCCAATTGAATTGCTGAGAAAAATATGAATATAAACGTGGGCTTTTTATTATCTTTCATTTATATCTTATAATGAAATAATTCTTATGATGTGTATTATTAGATGTGTCTTATTTAATGTGTTTTGTCTTATGTGTGGGTTTTGTGCTGTGCTTTTTCTTGTATGTTTTGTGTGTTTGTTCTGATGTGTTTTGTGTTGTGTTTTATCTGATGTGTTTTATTTTATGTGTTTTGTGATGTGTTGCATCTGTATCTTGTATATAGTGTTTAATCTTGGACTTCCTGTTTTATATGTTGCATCCATAAAACAATCAAATTTCAAAGTGCACGCAATGTTTATGCAGAAAAATTCCAGCAGAAGCATCCATCTTGTAACTAACAATCTGCTCCATATTTCACAAGCCAACAGATAGGTTCAACTAGGAGCAGGTGTCGCAATCTTCAGGTAGGCAAGAGGTAAGAGTTCTCTTGTGTGCCTGACATCCACCCAATCTTACATGGAACAACGAACAACAACACAGTTTTCACCACTGTTTCAACTAAAAGTTTGTGCAGTTGATGCAGTTGTAAGAAAGACCAGTTTAATTTTGATATCAGCCACGTTTGAGGGTTTCTTTCAGACATTGTTTTTCCAGGTATTATTTGTTTAAAGTATATATATTTTCTACATAATTTTTTTTCTGTTTAGTCCAGGAGGGGTGTGGGGGATACCCTTACTTTTCCCGGAGAAATGCCTGAAAGAACCTCTACTACTTACTTGACTGTAGTTCCCAATAATTTCTCTCAGCGTCATGGGGTTGTATAATTTTTTGCTGTCTCTTCGTTGTTCATCAGGGACTGATATCTACAGGAAAATATTTACCCAAAATAATTAATCTAATATATAAAGTTCAATTCTGTATGTAAAATGTTTGTAAAATGTTTGTCGTGGATACTTCAATGGATTTAAGTGTTAGATTATTATATTGCTCATGGTCTAAATTTATGAGTTAAAAAAATTACTATTGAAAGTCTTTAAAAACAATTTTTATTTTATATACTTAGAATAATAATTTTCAATTATGAACATTACATAAAAATTTTTAAAAGTGTATCAACGTTTATAAAAGTTCTAAAATTGTGTCTGAAATGTATTGACTACACAGTTACTTCCCTTAAAAAAACATTAAATCCGGGGAAGAAAGAATTTACTTTTTATTACTTTGTTTTGGTGTTAAGAAAAAAAATAATTACATAATTAGCGGGGATTGATTAAGTGCAATGTCGTTGGTATTTTAAATACTGCCTTTTATTTATTCTATACACTGAACATACTGTTCTCTAATTATTTTTTAAAATCAATAACATTTAATAAGCCAGGTCCTACAAATCCTAGATCTATATGTTTATTTCTTTCCATTTACGGGTAACCTTGGAGTATTATAATTTTGTTCACTAAATTGAAACAGGCGCGTCCGCCTGCGCACCTGCACGGTTCGCTTTGGCGCCCTGGGCTATCATGTGAGCGCTATGCTGCATAATTTTAAACAGTGCGATAGACTATGGATAAGAAAGGTTACTATAGTCTTTAAGTGAATCAAATCCGGGCGTCCTCCGGCACCCCGACAGGGTGCTATTTGGCGCCCCGGGCCTTCCCGTGTACGCTATGGTACCTACGTTCGCGTAAGTGAGTTCAAAATACTATGAATAAATTGGGTACTATAGTCGTTTACTAAGTTGAAAATAGGCGGTTACGCCGCACGTCGTCATGTTGCGATTTGGCGCCCCGGGCTAGACTGTGGACACTTTGAGTTTATCTTTGCGTTTGTGTTTTCTTTGTGTTTGAGTTTGGGTTTGCGTTTGTGGTTGTGTTTGCGTTTGGATTTGGGTTTTAGGTTTGTTTTCATTTGCTTTTTTTCTTTGCGTTTGTGTTTTCTTTGTGTTTGTGATTGTGTTTGTGTTTGCGTTTGTTTTTGTGTTTTCGTTTGTGTTTGTATTTGCGTTTGTGTTATGTTTGCGTTGTTGTTTTTTTGGTGTGTTTTGGTTTTGTTTGGTTGTGGTTGGGTTTGTGTTTGCGTTTGGATTTGGATTTGTTTTCGTTTGCTTTTTTGTTTGCGTTAGTGTTTGTGTTTTTTGTGTTTGTGGTAGGGTTTGTCTTTGCGTTTGTTTTTGTGTTTTCGTTTGTGTTTGTTTTGTGTTAGTGTTATGTTTGCGTTTTTTGTGTGTTTTGGTTGGTTGTGGTTAGGGTGGGCAATGCCGCATAAATGCTGATTACTAAACACACAAGTTATGGTCCATTACAGATACGTTTTTCAGAGATGCCAGTCCAGGGCCTGGCCGTGGCGGCTAGTAGACAATAAAGTCAAAATTTAGGCTTTGAAACTTCAAACGTTATAGAACAGAAAAGTGTTAGTAGTATCTAGGTAGTCTATACTTGTTTATAAAAATATTAAGCAAGCAACGTACATTAGCCAGTTGAATCTCAAAGTCGACAATATCCTTGATATCCTGAGCTGCAGTGCTAGCATTAGCGAAGCCCATGAGGTTACCCACAGCGTAAATAAATTCTTCATAAGCTTTTAGCATTGTGTCGTTTCTCTCCACCAGGTAATACTTCTGTCCTGGCAGGCCGAATGACGACGGCTGGTCTATCTGAAAAACAAATGAGCTCCACTATCTACAGATGTATTAGAGAGTTTTTAAAACATACATTGTATCCTCTGTGGGAACACCAAAGTTCCCTTTTCAAACATGATGGTGCCAGTGAAGTTGAGTTCACCTGTTTCTGTGACGGCGGCATATGAAGAGATAGTGTGGTGAGCACTATACCCAGCTGGCTTTACTCTTTACGCTGGCTTTAGTCTCTAGCTTGAGTTAAGTACCCATTAGAGCTGGGTAGACTCAGGAAAGTTCTACTAACTTGAACCCGGATTCAAGATCGAGACTTTCTGATAAGCAGTCTAGCGCTCTACTGCTAGGCCACGCCGCCCCCCTTAGTGTAGTTGTCCCCCTCCCTTTAAATCCTAAATTACATATAACAAAATAAACACATATTTGTATAAGATATACACTAACAAAGCAACTGAATAGTGGCTGTCACAAATTTTGTAACGTCACGTTCAGTGGCGTCACTAGGTCGGGTGACACCCGGTGCGGTACCCTAATGTGTCACCCTACTCCACCAACAAATAAACCTATGTATGCTGTATTAAAATGATAGGGGTCACCCTACCCCCGATAGTGTCACCCTCTCGAGCAGCAAATAACCCTATGTGTGATGTATTAACATTATAGGTAAGTAGATTTTGTTTTGGTGTCACCCTATTGGATCGAGTCACCCGGTGCGGTCTGCAACCACCACCCCCCCCCCCCATTGTGAATGAAATAGCCAAGTCAATCAATTGAATAACCTCCGCCTTTTTACCTTTTGAAATTTTTTTTAGAATTGTAGACTGAGACAAATTCGAAATTGTAATAAGATCTTTATTTTACTGCGCGATATAGGAGTAAGACATATAGGAGCCTTATTTTTAGCACGGTCATAGATTCGTGTAGCTAAAACAGGTTTGTCGCTGTTTTTGTTTTAATGACTTTGGATTTAATTAAAAACCATTTTTGTGCGTTCGTTTTATGCATTTGTTAACAAGATTCGATGATTTCATATGTTAACAATACAAGTTTAATTATGAACTCTGACAGTTAAATTACCTGCATGATGTATCTGGAAGAGTTCATGTTGTCTGAGGAGACGTACAACGTAATTATTATGTAGAGCTCGTTTCGATGAAGGTTAGCAATCGTCGTGGCCAAATCAAAACTACCCTCGTCCCAAGAGCTGTTTGTCAACGGCCAGCCGCCGTAAGTGTCGGCCAGATATTGCTTGATTGGGCCATCTCCCAGCTTGTTGATTTGGTCTGAAGTAGATAAAAATCTGGGCTAGAAAACAGCTTTTTATTTTTATCGGCAGAGGGAGGGGCTGTCATGTTTTATAATTTTACGAGCCGCTATTTAGTTGTTTTATTTTTTACTTTTCAGTAATTCATACTTTGTGAATGCTGCCACTGAAAATATTTGCTTTAAAACACTAAAACACCTTTTTCCCCCTACCCCTCCACCCCCCCCCCCCTTGAAAGCAGCCTCCTTTTAGTTACCTCTCATAATTTTAAATAGCCGTCACTAAACCCGTCTCTACGATTGTAAACATTTAGCGTGAACCACAGCTCACCAGACCATGTGGGGGTGGGGGTGGTAGCGATATGCCTAGAGAGGAAGAGAGGGGGCTGCTAGGCGCGCTTACAGCTTGGTGTTTTCTAGGGTCCCCAAGAAGAGAATTGTATATATATATTACTGCTGCATTTGCAAAAATGGAGTGTTAAGTTATATAAACTTATAAATTAGTGTCACGTAATCACGCACATACGCACACACGAGCGCACACACACACACACACACACTAATTGTTTAAGGAAGTAGTTACCCATGTTCATGCATGATGCATACAAATCCTTGGCTTTCTTAATGCTTGGAATGTCTTGCTTATCTGGTTGCTCCAACAAATCTAGAGATCAGAGAGAGAAATAACATCTTAGTTTGATGTTTTTAAACTGTTATTTTGTATACACGGATAGGCTCGATTGAATTTCTCCATAGTTGTGTGCATGGACAGCTGCAGGCAAACTTCATGATGGCAGCTGTTAAATATAGACTCCAACAGAAGATGTTCAATAAGCAAAGTCATGATCTATCAAATCTGATTAGTAAGTCACGATGGACAATAATCTTTTCTTTACAATTATCGCCATTCGAATCGTATCTAGCGATAAAAAAAAATAAAACACGAAATACAAATTTGTCGTCTACCAATGGTACAGGGTAATACCGAGTGTCAAAATGTCTGGATCTACAAAGATATTCAAAAACTGAATATACAAAGATATTCAATGACTGGATCTACAAAGATATTCAATGACTGGATCTACAAAGATATTCAATAACTGGATCTACAAAGATATTCAATGACTGGATCTACAAAGATATTCAATGACTGGAAAGATATTCAAAGACTGAATCTGTAAAGATTCTAAGGGGAAAAAAATTGACGAACCAAAACAAAATATTAACTCTATGACAGCAGTTTATCACAGCCATTACAGGTGCTTTTTTGTCAATATAATACATAAATATGGGTTAGACGTGATAGAAACTGACCACTAGCGACCACTGTTCAGCGTTTAAAATAAATGAATCTCTTAACGTTCATACCTTTTAAAATGATGTCCACTTTATCGGTCAAGACGCCAAAAATGTTGAAACTTGACTGGTCATCTGGGATGACGTTTTCCTTGAGCCACTGACCACAGGAGAACTGATAGAAGTTATCACACGGGTCAGTTTTTAAGTCCATGTTGCTGGCCACACTAGCAGCTGGTAGAGGACAATTAGTTTGGTTTACATACAACTTTTATGTCAAGCGGGGTTATGGTTAGAGTTGTGGTTAACTTTGATTACAGGCAGTAATAAGCTATGACAATAAACATTGCTTTTTAGACCTAGCGATCCATTGAAGTAGAGTTCATATGTTTCTTGACCTCGGCATATAAAGGGATGGTGTGGTCAGTCTTTATTTTCCCCAACTTAAGTCAGGTACGAATTCGAGCTGGGCGGACTCAGGGACTTTCTACAGTTACAGGTCCGAACCGAGATCCGAGCTTGAGACCTTAGAGCTAGCAGCCAAAGCGATTAAATTATTCAGTAAATATTTTATCCAGTGTTACCAGCCCTCCAGCCTCCTTCTCATACTCTCGGTAACCCCACCCCTCAAGGTACCGCGTATTGCTGTAGAGCGCTGAGTAGAGGAGAAATGTACAGCAATGTCTTACTGCTCAAACCTTTCGATGCTATTTCTTTCTAAACTAAATATAAATAAACCGGGAGTGATCTCCGCTAAACTTTCTCGAATATTCTTATAAAAAACAACAGGGGATGGGAACTCGGGATATAGACATGATTTTTAATCCATTTTAAATACTTTAACTTTTTAAAATAAAATACGATCTCGTAGAAAAAAAATTGCACACCAAGTGAACGCCAAACAAAATGTGCATAATAAAGCGCAATATTATTAGTACTTTATAAATTTACATTAGTTTTATGAGTAATCGGAAATAGCTTAAATTACTACTTCCGGTCAACGAAAATTACTCAAAATTTGATAAAACGTAGAGAATTAGATCTTTTACTTACATGTGCAATTTCATTTATCTATCTGAAATAGTACTTAAGTTAAGGGATTTTGAAAAAATTCAAAGTAGAAAAAGTACCACTTCCGGTTATCAGAAATCGCTCAAAAGTTGATACGGATCTACGATTTTGATATAATACTTATATATGAAATTTAATCAACATAGTTGTAACAGTACTCAAGTTATCGTGTTTACACACACACAGACACACACACAGAGACACACACACACACACACACACACACATACGGACAAGATTGCAAAACTATGTTTTCCGACTCAGGGAGCCCTAAAACGTCGAGATTTGCAAAAAGTCTCGATTTTTTTTTGCACGATTACAAGACTTTCTCTATACTTCGTATATACGAGAAAGTAAAAAAAAAACCATCTATGCCTGTATAACTTATGCTGGTTAGTTCTAGCGAAGTATGTATTCAGAATTTACGCTAGTTTTATTCAAAAGTGTGTTTAAATAGCCTATATACAAGAACCATTTAATGAAAGCACCAATGAACATGTTGAACTTCAAGAAGTTTTTAAATAACAAATGTGCAGTGTAGATGTTTTTGACAGGGAAATTAAAATGTAATTGGCACTTACATGTCTTGACACATTCTTGAGACATGCAGATATCTGTGGATTACAAGCAATAGGTTTTGCTGTCAGAAATTATTGCTGGGAAAACAACATTGATTATGTCCCCTGTATTACATTGTGTATGACTTGGTCTGTTTGACAACATTATCTACGTTAGGTTTCACACCCATGCTAAGTTGTAACACGTTTAAGTAAATGGCGTGTTACACGTTTAAGTAAATGGCGTGTTTTATAATGTTTTTTGAAAATGTGACATTTAAAAAAAACCTCCTCTATACGTGATATAACATTAAATGTCATTTCTAGAGATAACCATCAACTCATTTTAAATACGATTTATATAACCCACCATCTTCCAATGTGGCAAAATTTGGTTCTAAAAATATTGTCTTTACAAATATCTTAAGAAACAAATAACTTGCGAGAAAACAACCAAAGGGCAGACACGTTACATCATTATTTGAAAGTGTGTGAAATAAATAATTTGGTAGACAATTGTGTTACCTTATTTATTCAACAATTGTGTCACCTAATTCATACAACAATTGTGTCATCTAATTCAGATAAAAATTGTGTCACCTAATTCAAACAACAATTGTGTTACCTAATTTATACAACAACTGTGTCATCTAATTCAAACAACAATTGTGTTACCTAATTCAGACAACAGTTCTAAACATTGTGTGTGTGTTAAACCATTAATCTAAAGAAAATTAAATGTTCAACATTTGTTTCTATGCTCATACACACTATGACACCTGACACACCGCCAAAGCCCCTAGTTGTGAAACAATATTAGCACGACATACGTTATGAGAGGACAGAAATAATTACCTGACGCCGCTATTGCAGGAGACACCTGGGCGCTGCTCGGGGATTTATTTTTCTCCACGATTAAGACGATGACAACAGCAATAAGGGCAGCAACCACTGCCAGCAACAGCAGCAGCAGAACTTTTTCTAGCAACGTCCTCCGTGTGCATCGTCCGCCCTTGGTGAAGCTGGGGAAAAATCAACATTTGGGTTATGTCCCCTGTATTACATTGTGTATGAGCGGGTGGGATTAAACATTAACTAACCAATTCGGTGAGCGGAATTAAGTGCAACGGAAACTTGCGCGACGGAAAACTGCGCAACGGAAAACTTCGCAACGGAAAAACTGCGCACAAAGAAAATGCACAAGGGCATTTTTGTTTCCTTAAATCGAGCATTTATAGACATTAGTAACATAATAAAGCACGTTTCACGAAATATGAAAAAATAAAAGTGTATTAGTATTTTTCTGTTTGCGCAGTTTTCCGTTGCGCAGTTTTCCGTTGCGCAGTTTTCTGTTGCGCAGTTTTCCAATTGCGCATTTGTTTTTGATACATTGACCTGAATTGTTTTCTAGTTGAGTGGGCGAGTATGGTGAAACAGGGAGTTGAAGCTTGCTGATACCCTACCAAGCCAGATATAAGGAGGGAAACTGTGATTAAAGAATAATTAAGCTAGTTTCTAAACATTCATAGCTAAAGCAAGCAATGACAAGAACAGAGTTGGAGGTGGGAGTAGTTTGAATAAGCCTGAGGGTTGAAGCACGGCTGTTCCACTAGATGTACAACCACAACACCGATACGAGAAATGTGAATGTACTGATATGTGATGTCAGCTGAAGCTAGAGTTAAATGTTGAATTTACTGTTTAGAAAATCTTTACTCCGATTTGTTTCCTAATATGTAATTAACGTAATTTACCTTTTATAAATAGTCTTAATAACAAGAGACATAGCTTTTACACACGATACAATCAAAACATGAGAAAATACAATAGTTTTAAAAACAAAACAAAAGATCTATGAAGGTGATTGCAAGAAATCGTCTGGTCCATCACCGCTCTCATTTGCTCTCTACACGGTCAGCCTCAAGAGATGCCCATATGCCAGACCCATGATACCTCCCCCTAGACCCGACGGTCTCAATATTTCTTTCACTAATTTTACCAGCTAGACCCGTGGGTCTAAACATTTCTCAGAAATACAGAACCACATTATAGAACACGCATTTAAAGGGTAAGAAAACGAAACACTACACCGGCAATATTTCGAACTAAAAAAAAGTTTTTTTCTTTACCTAGATATTCCCAATAAAGAATAAAATCCGCGTTTAGGATAAAAAAAAAAAGATAAACAATACTAAAAGCAAGACTTAAAAATTTAATTTTGGTAGAAAAAGTCTGAAAAATGTAAATTATTGTTTGGGCAATACATTTTATGATTTTGCACAATTTTAGAAGATTAAGCAGGTAGATAGAGCAGGTAGATAGAGCAAGTAGACCAAGTAGATAGAGCAGGTAGATAGAGCAGGTAGATAGAGCAGGTAGATAGAGCAGGTAGATAGAGCAGGTAGATAGAGCAGGTAGATAGAGCAGGTAAATAGAGCAGGTAGACCAGGTAGATAGAGCAGGTAGATAGAGCAGGTAGATAGAGCAGGTAGATAGAGCAGGTAGATAGAGCAGGTAAATAGAGCAGGTAGATAGAGCAGGTAGATAGAGCAGGTAGATAGAGCAGGTAGATAGAGAAGGTAGATAGAGCAGGTAGATAGAGAAGGTAGATAGAGCAGGTAGATAGAGCAGGTAGATAGAGCAGGTAGATAGTGCAGGTAGATAGAGCAGGTAGAGCAGGTAGATAGAGCAG